TTTTTTTTTTTTTTTTATTTAATTCCAATTTTTTGTTAAGATGGTTTTAAATCCCCCCCATATACAATTTTAAATTTAAGATATATTAAAGCTCAAATATATCACCGTGGAATAGGGACTATAACTTCTAATTATATACTATTTGAGACAATATATGAATATACCCTTTTTAGAAAAGTTTTATAAATAGGTCACAACAGACCATGGACTATATTAGGGGGCCAATCTTGCGGGGTTCCCAGAGGCTCCTCTATAGATTAGGAAAGATTAAAGAAAACCACTCTACCCAATGGGACTCAGTGCTCAATCTAGAAGATCTCATTAAGCATCTCTGTGGTGCTTAGTTTCAGTTCTCAAACTGCGGATTTGTGTCTCCAGAGATAACAGCCTTGTTAACAGCAGAGTATGGAGAGGAGGAAACAGACCCGATTACCCCATCAGCTCTCTTGTCTCTTTGCAAGTTTGTGTACGGAGTCAAGCCCTTACCTCTCTCAAAAAGTGCAAAGTTTCAAGAAGTTAAATTAAGGATATCAAACAACAAGAATGATTAAATCGAGGCTTCCTGACCCATGAATTTAAATCACGATTTCAATTGATTTGATTTAAATCAAATCCACCCTGACCTGAGTCCTATACATTTTACTTAAAAGCATTTCAATAGCCTGTGGACTAAACTGTTGTACCACAAGTATGTCTGGAGACTAAATTGTTTTGAATTGCGAGTCCAGAGCAGGAGAAACTGAATTGCAATGCATATGATTCCTGCACAGGAACAGATTAGGGGAAATATGTCCAAATGGTCCCAGCCACTAATCCGCACCCATGCAGCACAGAAGGCAATACATGGCCTGCGGTACCTTCACCTGAGGGAATGAATTCCCTTCCAGTTCTCAACCATAACCAGTCTGACCTCGAGACAAGACACCCAAATGCACAAGAAAGTTTCCTGTACCACCTAAAGGTTCAGGGCACCCCAGTGGGTGTCCTGTCTTCAGAGGTGGCCAAATTCAGAGAAATGCAAAACCAAAAAAACCCTGGAATGTATGTAACTAATCGTGCACTGGGAGGAAAAATCCTTTCTACCCCTGAATGTGACCTGAAATATGAGACCCTGCTTAAAGTAGCTGCCTTAACGCACAGGTTCAGCTGTTGAGGGAAATGTACCAGCAATCGTTTTTCACAGCGAAATATGAAGCGGAGGTAACACACAAAGAGAAAGGGGATGTCTAAAGGAAACAGGGGGAAAATGTAAAAATAAAAATCACAGTACAATCATAGATACGCAATGAGGAAGGGAGGTGTTAGACTAGAACGATATAATATTACTGAAAAGCAAATGGGGAGAAAGGAAAAGAAAGGTAGGAAATGGGACAAGAAGGGACCTGGATCATTATTCCAGTCCTGTGCCACACACTCACGAAGTTCCCCCTTGCAATCCGTTAGTTTTCTTGACCCCTGTTGTAAGACCATCTCAGAGCCCTTCTTGAATGCTTAGAAACTAAATGTCATGTGTAAACTGATTCAGGGACAGTTTATAACCATTTTTCTTATGACGATACTGCCCTTTAGCTTAAACTAATCTCCCTCCAGGGGTATAGTGTCTCTATGCCCTCTTTTTAAAAGCCTAAACAAAGCTCCCCTCTTCCACAAAAACTCCCTTCCACCAAACGTTGTTTGTACTTTCAGGATTTTGCTTTTACTTTTTCCCTTAGAGATTTTGAATACCAACTACCCACTCTGTCAGGCTAACGAGTTCTGACCTGTTCTTTTGTTGACCCATAACACTGAAAATCGGAACCAGTGCTAGCTAGATTGCTCCCTTTCCCTGTTCGTTCTGCTCAATTATAAATAATGTCTATTTGACAAAAATAGGCTTGAATAGCTCGAGTCAAAATATACTTAATGCAATACATGGCTAAAATAAAATCTCACTACACTGATTTTCAAATGGATCCAGCTTCCAGAGTCCTGGCATATCACTAGCTAAACTTTCCCAAAAAGTATAATCAGCTTCACCCATATATAATACAAAATTTGTGTTAGGCTTCCAAGAGTTGCCTTTTGATTATTTTGTTGGATAAAATGCCATAAGCTGCTTTGCTCCTGCTGGGCTTTTTACACACAAACTGAGAACTTATCTTCCTTCACTGATTAACACAGTACACATATATATATGCACACTGTCTGCAGACAGCCACTACCCATTTTCAAGACTATAAGGGTTCACTTTAAGACAAGCAACTGATGTGGTGAGCCACTGACCAAATAAAATACAGCTCCTACAATCAATGGAAGTAATTGTCAGGGAAGCAAGTGTTAAAAAACAGAAATATGGAAAACCAAGCATAGATGATGAAAACCTTATTTGCATCTGCCATTCTTTCCATCCAGTGAACAACTCCATAGTAAGATGATTATACAACTGCCAAGAAAACTACACCCTACCTACACACTCTGGGGCCCCAGTTTTCAGGTTCCTCTTAGCTGTGCTCAGTGGAGACTCCAGGGGAGAGGTCAGAAAGCGAACTGTGAACCACTTGGCAGCTATAGGATTCTAGGACTTGCTGGGGACTAATTTGGCTGCTGCTGGAAGTTCAAGAAGCCTCAAAGCCAATCAAACTTTATTCCCAGATGTCTGTGTTCAGACAGTGGAGCCAGAGTACAGTGACTTTATGACCATATCATACATGTAGTTGTGTGCGATATACTTATGATGTTCTGATGCTAACTCCCTTAGTCTTAATGTTGACTCCCCTTAATCTAAGAAAATTCCTTCCTAAACCAATTTAACTAGTTCCACAGCCCCTTCATGCCTATAAAGGGCCCAAAGAAGCAAGAGCAGAGCCAGAAATGGGGTCCATTTTTCTGTGTATGCCATCCATTTACCTCAACTAATTAACTACCAAGTGTTTCCCAACCAGTATGCTGCAGCACAAAGTGTGCCATCAGAAGTGAACAGGTGTGCCGCAGAACTTTGCCATGGCCATGAGCTACAATAGGTATGAGGATAGGGAACGTCTTAACAGGTATCCCATGGAAAAAAATTATGAATGTAAGTGTGCCTTGGGCTGGAAAAGGTTGGGAAACATTGGTTTAAAGATATGAATGTTAACTAAGCATTCACAAATAACCTTTTCCCCCCCATACAGTGCAGTGCCGTCCAACCTTCCAGCCCTGTACACCCCTGGATCTGGCCACACACCATGCCATCTGGTGCACAGGGCCACGCTATTTAGCCAACCGGGCTCCTCGTGGGTCTGGAAATTTTGGAGCAGGGAAGAGGCAGTTAATGTTCCCACTACTTACTCCCTCACCTGCCAAATTCTGGACCCCTGGGGAACTGTGCAGGCTGGATGACATGGCGCTATGGAGTGAATCTGACCCATAAGGAGTAAAGCGCCCCTGGTATAGTGCATTCAACATGTTGGACAAGGGCCCAGTAATTCATGCTTTACAATTCAGAAGAGGGCAAACTGTTCTCCAGCTCTTACAGTTTATCTACACAAGTATGTTACATCAGATTAGTCTGCTCCCTTTAAATACAGAGAATTAACAATATCAGACAGAAGTGCACCCACTTTATTTGATTAGACAGACTTCAGGTACTTTCCCTGTTAATCCTGTCCAGACACTTCTGCACTCACTGGAGTTAACTGGGAAGCATTCCAAGCAGAAATTCCACAATTGCAACCCAGGCAATTACGTGCAGAAAAACTAAAAAATATGCAAACATTCTTTTATTTCCTTTTTTTTTTTTTTAAACAAACTAAACTAAATATAACACTGTTTGAACCTTCTTTACAAATATATGCAGGTACTCCGTGTGGTTGGGGGGTGGGTTTGGGGGGTTGTGGGTATGTATCCACAGTGGTTTGGCCAGTGGGTGTGGGGTATGGTAGTACTTGGGGTTTGTGGGTGGGTGTGGAGTTTGCAGGGTGTTGTGAAGGGACATAGGTATGTGGGAGGTTTGTAGGTGGGAGCGGGCCCCCCCCCCACACACACATCCCCTTCTCCCTCCATGGTGCACAGCACCCGCCACTGGCAGTTCAGCAGCAGCAGGCCCCTGGGGTGCTCATAGCCATGGCAGGCAGAGCCCCTGGTGGCATACACCTCTGGCCAAGTCCCAGGGCCTGCACTTGCTGGCATGGAGTCGGCCAGGCCCACTGGCACACACCTTCAAACCAGATCAGGTCGTCTATGCCAGCATGTGGGGCTCCCAGCACTCTAGCAAGCAGCCACATACAGAGGCACAAAGTCATGCACCATCAGGCCAGGTGGGCTCTGCACCTCCACATGCAGCTTCCCCCTAGAGTGCTGGAAGCCCCACATGGAGGCACTGGAGCTGGCTGACCCAGCCCAATGGCACGCAGCCCATACCCCCCATCCTTCCCCCTCTTGCAGGCAGGAGCTCCTCATCCCACTTACCTAGCTGTCCAGGCACATGGCTGTGTCTCCACATCATGGAGGTGGAGACATAGAGCCCACCATGCTTAAATTATGCAAAATTATGCAATTATGCACGGTCATGCCTTTTAATGGGGCAAAATTGCACGGGCACATAATTTGCAATTCCCCAGGGTGCACACTGTGCACTGTTCTGCTGCTCAACCATATCCTCTAGGACTCTTCTCTCAGTGCATTGTGGAACACCTAGCAGAATTTACAGGAAAATGGAAAATCAAGTCAAATTAAACACACTGATTCTGCTTCCTAGCATTGCATGTGTTACTACACTTTGCCAGTGCCATCTTTGAACTGCTGAGTAGTTCAGTCACTACAGGTGTTAATACAAACAGGATGATGCACAGGTATTAGTAGTAACGCACCAGGAAATAAAAGTTACATCTCCCTGTTCATCTGTATTGTAATACAATATAGAGTTCAAAGTGGTACAGCTCCCTTCTGCAGCATTTTAGGCTGGCTGCTAACAGCTCTCCCCAACACAACAGTTTCAGTTCAGCCATTTGCAGGCAGCTCTTGAGTAGTCTTCTGGGTCATACTGTTCTTGGATGCTCTTGTCAGACCCCATGGCATATGTGGGATCAATGATACTTTGGTGCCTGCTCTTTTTGTCTGTGTTACATTCTGGAAAAAAAAAACAAAAAAAACAAAATGGTTGTTCTCAGGTATGGTGGCTGCATTGCTTCCAAAAAATGCAGCTATTGTTTATAGCATGGGCAGATTGCAGGAGCAATAGTGGAGGTCCTGCTCCTTTTCCTAGCCTTCAGGTTGTTCCACCAAAGCACCTTGTGAGAGCATTCACAGGGATCAGTGCCAGGACTGCCTCTTTACCTTTATTTGCTCTGACAGTGTCTTGTAAGTGTCTGCAATCTGGTGACACTTTTCCAACTAGGACTGAACATGCAGATCTTCAAAGAGGAGAGTTAAATCCAGAGCTCCTCAGGGGTTCAAGTGGTAGCACTGGGGACAAGAGTACTAAAGCACTAGTGGCACAGACAGAAGTGACATTTGTTGTGTGATGGGCCCCTTGAAATCACTCTGCAGTCTTGTTCTTCTGTTTGGAGGCGGCTTTACAGTCTTCCGATAGCGTGACAAATTAACCCTCACTGTATGAGGGTTCAAATCAAGCTGCTCCTAAGCAGAGTGACTTCATTAATTTCTGGCTGCTCCGCTGCAACAGCAGCTCGGCTCACACTGCTCTCTGGATGGGAGGGGGAGAGAGGTCCCATCTGGGGTTCTGTCAGTCTCACTGGATTGAAGCCCCTCACCTAGGGGGGAGACTCCAATCTACCCACTCCCTACTCCAGTGGGGCTTAGAAAATGCCAGAACAACCCCCCTCCTCAGCCCTCTTCCCCTTCCATCCAAAGACAGCAACAGAGCTGGGAGGGCGGGGGGCAGAGCCAGGGGAAGATGCAGTCTCTCTCCCTGGATTAGCTCCAAACTGGAGCCAATCCTCTACCCTACCAATCCCACAGCTAACATCTGTTGGACCAGGAAGATCAGTCTAACTCACGGCAATTTCTATGAATCGCCATGAGTTAGACCTGGGAGGCTGCACTTCTGTCTGCACCCTAAGAGACCTCATTACCACCTGGTACTGACAAGGGGCACAGCTAGCTGCATGTCAACATTTAAATGCACAGATAATGCGGTTATGACAACTTTGGAGCAATGGAGGACATACAAGTATGCAGTGAGGCTAAACCAAATGTAAGGCAGTACAGTATGGGATCACAGAAAGACTGCCAGCAGCAAAATAGTCAAGAATACGTCCCTATAAACCTTAAAAGTGAATACACTTGCTGCCAAGAGAAGTTAAATTACACAAGTTGCCAAATTAAGTTTGTTTGAAGAAAGGTGTGCAGACACAAGACACGACAAAGTGAACAAACTAAAGTTACACTGATGTAACATTAACATCTAAAACTAAATAAATCTTCAAATCCTACATACTAATTCTATTAATGTTACTACTATTTTGAGTGCAAGTTGTTATGACTTAAACGTCTTTTGATTTCTCTAACAATTACAAACTTCATGACCTTTAAATACTTCATAAATCTAGGTTACAACATTCCAGAGAGTATTTTGAAAGTTCTTGCCTCTCAAACCGATGAAGTGACAAAATAAGGATTTTATCTACTGATTTTGAAAATTGTACGTCTTAGCCTTATAATATCTTATAGCTGATTTGAGAAAGATAATTGCACATTACCCTAGGAATAGAAAGCAGGAGGTGCATCTACATGTGCACTTTACTGTGGAGTTGACTAATTAGTTCCACAATAAAGAATCACCATCTACATGTGTGCCTGTATTAGGGTGCGGTAAATTAACTAATTCCGACATAAAATAGCACTGTCAGCAACAGTAATATTTTAAAACAGAGTACTTAACTCTGCCAGAACTCATGGTGACAGGGGCTGGCTGGGGTACAAGTGCTAAGATGCAGGGATTGCCTGCTGCCCAGCCCTGCACTGTAGCACCCTCATGCACCAGCAAGACCCTCC